ATATATCTATATTTACAAATATATTTACAGATATACAAATATATATACAAATATAAATGAAAGATATATATATGTATTTGTGTATATATATCTCTCTCTACAAATAAAACTCAAGCACTAAAAAAGGGACAAATTTTTTAAAGAAGAAAGAAAGATATATTGAAGTGAGTTAGGACCCACAGTTGCTAGGCATCATTAAGAAAGATAGGAAAAGTGTGGGTGAGGGAACCCACTTCCCTCTCGCTCCTTGACTCAAGGTGAAAACATGTTTATTAAAAGCCAAGTACTTAGACAACAATGAAGTTTAGTTGCCAAAACGTTTAACAGGTTCTGAGATGTCATATTGATTTGAACCTTGCTCTAAATGGCACATTATGTTATTAGAAGAGGAAATTAAAAATCAAAACATGGGCAAAGTATTTAACTAAGAGCAATCTTTTTGCATACAAATGCTGGGAAGAGTGTATTGCAGAACATTTTATTTGCTTTTTTGGTTATCCACTGCCAGCCTACTGAGGAGATACAGCCATGTTTAATGGAAGCCTTTCACCTAGTTGAGGGTTACACACCTAATTGCTTAAATATCCCTGTGTGGGGATTTGGGGCTGTATATAACTCAACTCCATAGTACAAGCCGCTACGCAGTCAGAGAATGGTGGAGAAAAGGATTTTGGAGTCAGAGAGAACTCGGCTTAATTTCTGAGTCTAAATTCAAGCGAGTTTTTAAAATCTCTCTCATCCGTAAAATGGAACAAATATAAAGCTCCTTGCAGAGTTGTTTGAGCAGATGTCATTTTAAACATCTACCACTCCTATCAAACGTTGAGTCCGTAACTGGCAGCTCCTAGTCTTGTCGGTAGTGTTAACAGTACATGAAACAGTATAGGCACAATGCCATCTACGAAGTGTGATTGAGTGGGTCAATCAGTGTGATTTTGGTAGCTCCAAGCTCATTGAACCTGATATCAACAAATCTCTAAGGCTACATGTAAATTTATAAGAAATGCAGGAGACAGGAACAGGTTAAAACATCCTAACTGGATAAAATCAGCAAAATCCAGACTATAGAAAATTCTACATGACAAATGATCTAGTCTATTAAAAAATAAAAATAGAAATGATGGAAGAGGATTTTTTGCTCAAAGGGGATACTTGAAATTATGCATTGTTGTCAATTTTTAGGTGTGAAAATAGGATGTGGTTATTACTCAGGGAAGTTGTGTTTTAGTGATAAATGCTGAAACGTTTACAGAGTAAGTGATATCCCAGCATTTGCAACAAAATCTACAGAATGGGGAGTTGGTGATGGTAGAGAAGGACAAGATTGGCTGCGTATTGATGATTGTTGTTTCGGTAATAGGTAAATCAGGTTCATTATATTAGTTTCCTTGTGTATATATTTGAAATTTTCTATAACAATTGTTACAGAAAAATCCTTATTTTCTTGATTCCAAAGATCAAATCAGATCCATAAATACTATGAGTAGAAATGTGTCTACTTAGATATATAGAAAGATTTTTAAGCCACATGTCTGTTCATTATTAAGAATTATTAATTTTTTCGAGATAGGGTTGCTGTGTGTCAGGCTGAAGTGCAATCATAGCTCACTGCAGCCTCGACCTGCTGGGCTTAAGTAATCTTCCCACCTCAGCCCCCCAAGTAGCTAGGACTACAGCTGCACACCACCATACCCAGCTAATTATCATCATATTTTTTCCATAAAGACAGGGTCTCACTATATTGCCCAAGTTGGTCTAGCACTAATGAACTCAAGCAGTCCTCCTGCCTCGGCCTCCCAATGTGTGGGGATTACAGGTGTGAGCCACTGTGCCTAGGCTAATTATTTTTTATTCTAGTGACTACACTGTACCATTCAAGGTCCTAAGCATTTTATCTATTTTTACTGATTTAATTTCCCCAGTAACCCTGGGGTAGGTATTATGATAATCCCCCTGTTAAAGATAAGGTCACTGAGGCATACAAGCTTTGTTAGCTGTTAAAGGTCACACAGCTCATAAGGGCTGTCCCAGGAAAGCAGTCGTGGCAGCCCAGCTCCATAACTCACATTCTCAATCACTAATTGAAGTGTTTGGATATGTATCATGAAAATGAACAGCAAAACATGAAAGTCAACATCAATGACAGCTAACCTTTATACTGAGCACTATTCTATGATATGCACTATACTAGTTCCTATCTATTGTCTTTAATTCAAGACAAGCCTATAAGGCAGTCTTACTGTTTTTACTTTACCGAAGAGAATGAGAAAACTCAGATAAAGTAGTAGATCATCCATAATCACTCAGACTCTGGCAGAGAGAGGATATTGTATTAGTTATCTATTGCTGAGCAATAAACCACTCAACAGCCATTAATTTAGCTCATTACTGTGAGTGAATTTAGACTGAGTTCAGTGGGGTGGTTCTTCGGACTTTTGCTGGGCTTCCTCCTGAGTCTGTTATGAGCTGCATTTAGCTTAGGCAGCTCTGCATGTGAGGGATGGCTGGCTCTTGGGTGGAGCACTTTGGTTCTCCTCCACAAGGTGTCATCCTCCAATAGGCTAGCTTGAACTTGTTGCCATAGTGGAGGCACAGGTCTAAGACCAAGAGTGGACCCATGAAAAGCACCTCTTTTGCCACATTCTATTAGTCAAAAGCCAATCACAAGGCCAGCCCAGATACAGGGAGTGAAGACTCAGACTCCATCTCTTGATGAGAGAATCTGAAAAGTAGCATGGTAAGTAGAGTGGCTTTAGCAAAAGGAAGAAAAACGGGGCCATTTTTGCAATGAAGCTACCGAAAGTACAAACTCAGCTTTGAGTAATTTGAGAGAGATTGCATACCTTTCCATCATTTTTATTTCTAGTGCAGATTTAGCTTACATTTTACCAACTTGGCCTGAACTTAATTTAAATCAGAATTCTCCATCCAGCTAAAGTTTAAGTGCCGAGCCAGTGAGTACTAGAGCAAGATACCAAAGATTTGCTGCTGTGACTTGCCAGAGGATAGGATTACACCACAGGACAGCAGAAGACTGGATGTCATGGGAAGGAAGAGCGTTAGCCAAAAGTCCCAGTTACCAGGTAATGAAAGATTCTGACAAGTAACAACAACTATGCAGCCATAATAGAATTTCAATGAGATAAACTCCACTTTCTGTCCAAGTTTAGCCACTTAGGGAAGAAACAATTACCTTATGAAAATGGAGCACTCTCCTTATATTATCCCTTCATTAAAATATTCAAATGAAGGTAACAACACCGTTATAAGCTCATTTATAAAGAAAAATAACATTAATGCATTTAATGCTAATGCTTTTACCTCAGAGCGCTTTTCAGAGATGTTAAAATGTGAAGTTTATAAAATGTTCAATGATGTTGAACTTGAATTGCAACCTAATGCTTGAATTGCTACATTTAACATTAAAAACATGTTATTAATCTTCAATTTAGGGGAGAATAATTTTCGCTCACTGTGTAGGAAAAAAAAGGCCCGTTATGATGGGATTTCATTCAGATCAAATTTGCTTTAATTGCAGTTCTATTAAATTAGAAATAAACGTTTTATCCTGATATGATTCTTTGATGTCTTTAGTTTTAATGCTAATAAAAAGCATGTTCACCACAGGTGTAGCTGCATTATGTACAATAATTAGTGCTTAAATTAAAGATGTGTCAAGCTACCCAAAAGTAATTTAAAAAAACTAATGCAAAAGAAGTAAACAGGTGAAATTTGGGGGTATTTTCATTTCCCACACCTTTGCCAACATCAGTGTTTCATTATTTCATTTTATTTTATTTTAATAACAATAATACTATTAAGAATAATACCTCCAAGCCATGGTTAAATGAAGTAGTATAAAGCAATTGAGTGAAACAATTTGTAGATTAAAAAAGGCACTGTCGAGGAGTATCTAATAAAATGAAAATATATAAACATCCTGGTTAAGTAAAGAAAAGGCTGTAAATTGGTACTTACAGTATATCGTACTTGTAAAATATATATAGAAAAGTCTGGGAGGCAATGCAACCAAATGTTAGTCAGTTATTCATGTTTAAGTGGGGGATTATAGTGAATTTTTCTTTTAATGTTTTGACTCTGTATTTTATAATCATCTTTTACAATTAGCAATACTATTTTCATTTAGGAGAAAGTCGTATGAAAGAACAAAATGTATTCAGCATGACTGAGCTTGTCATAATCAAAGACTGTGCTGTGTTTCTTTGTCAAACCTAAGTAGTGAGGTGAGTTCAGGCAAAAAACCATCTGGGAGATGAATGAATGAATGAATTCGTGAATGGATATATGAATAAATGATTGAATGAATTCTAGGCATTGGTATTTAATGTCTAGCTAACGACAAGGTAACCCAGAATTGTAGCTTTGCTTGTTTTTCCTGTGTAGCTCTCTCTTCAGCATCTAAATCTCTTTATTTTACACAGTAGAGGAAAGACAACTCTTATGACCCAATAGTGCTCTTCTCTGAAGTAAGCCAAGTTTGGGGACAAACTAGAAAATGTAAACTCAGCCTCAACACCTTGGGTTAGAGATAAAAATGTCCCTCTGTTCACACAAAAATGAATTGACCTAGATATGGCTTTTGAGTTTATTGCTTTGCTAACCCTTGTTAAATATTTTATCAATGTTCACACCCACTGTGTGTCAGAAAGAGCCATATGCTGTTGGAAAGGCAAAGATAAATGAAGACATGTTTTCTGCCCTCAGGTAGCTTGGAGTAGAGGAGCAGGAACAGGCTTTGAAATCCAGAATTCCTAGGGAACAGTCCAAGTGCCACCAGTGATTGGCGGAGTGGTGAGTGACTTGTCCTCCTTAAACTCCAAGATCTCATCTCTAAAATGAAAAAACCAGTAACAGTCCATTAGGTTTTCTAAAAATTAAACCAGATAATCTCTAAATGAGCTGGTGCATAGTGGCTTCTCAGAAAAGGTAACCATATACATTTAAAAATAGATGGATAAGAAAACATGAAAAAAATGCAAACTAAGTATTTGTAACATACAATACACTTGATTTTCGTTCAATTTAGCTGATTTTCACATCTGTCTGGTCCTGTCTTCCCTAATTTCTGGAGAAGAAAAAGAGCTTCTGTGCTTATGGGGACTTTGATGATATCAAGAGTAGCTACAATTGCTGGGGGTGAGACGTTGGTGCAGTTGTGACGGTGTTATGCTGGAGACTCAGGAATTTCTCACTACTGCCATGCCAAGAGCCCACATTCTGTCTGAATCTTTTAAAAAATGCCCTAATAGAGAAGGATATTTTAGTTATCTATTGCTGCATAACAAGTTATTTCCAAACTTAGAGGCTCAAAACAACATACACTTAGTGGCTGACAGTTTCCGTGGGTCAGAAATCAGGGGCTAGCTAAGCTGGGTTCTCTTACCCAGTTCTTTTTTTAAATTTTTTTATTTCTAAAGGTTTGTGGGGAATAGGTGGTATTTTGTTACATGAGTAAGTTCTTTGTGGTGATTTATGAGATTCTGGTGCATGCATCTCCTGAGCAGTATACACTGGACCCAATTTGTAGTCTTTTATCCCTGACCCCCTTTCCAGCCTTTCCCCCTGAGTCCCTAAAGTCCATCGTGTCATTATTAAGCCTTTGCATCTGCATAGCTTTTACTCTAAGCGAAGTGACTCAGGAATGTAAAACCAAACATCGTATGTTCTCACTCTCAGTTCTGGCAGACTGCAATGAAAGCATTAGCCAGGGGCTGGGGTCTCCTCTCAAGGTTCAACTGGGCAGGCATCCACGTTCAAGCTCGCTCACTCACTCAGAGTTCTTGGCAGGATTCAGCTCCTGGTGCATTGTGGATGGCAGGCCACCTTCAGTTTCTTATCATGTGGGCTCTGTGTCAGGCAGCCCACAACATGACAATTGGCCCTATCAGAGTGAGAGAAAGATAAAATGAGAGAGAGATGTCACACTGTCTTTGCAACCTCATCTTAGAAGTGACATCCATCATGTTGTTGTATTTTGTGCAATAGAAGCAAGACAGGCGCGGTGGCTCACACCTGTAATCTCAGCACTTTGGGAAGCCAAGGCAGGCGGATCACCAAAGGTCAGGAGTTCATGACTAGCCTGGTCAACATGGTGAAACCCTGTCTCTACTGAAAATACAAAAATTAGATGGGCGTGGCAGAGCATGACTGTAATTCCAGCTGCTCAAGAGGCTGAGACATAAGAATTGCTTGAACCTGGGAGGCAGAGGTTGCAGTGAGCCAAGATTGTGCCACTGCATTCCAGCCTGGGTGACAGAGCAATACTCTATTTCAAAAAAAGAAGCCAATATTTAGGTCCAGCCCACGCTTGGGTGAGATGGGGTAAAGAGTGAAAGAGGAGACTGCACAAGGCCATAAATACTAGTAAGCAAATTCTCACTAGGGGTGGGCCATCTTAAACAGCTGACTTCTAGAAAAGAGGCCCAAAGAATCACTCAGTCAATATTTCAGCCTATGCCTTAAAGGCCTTAGTGTTATAACCTTAAGAAAAGTGTAGGTTAGATCCTGTGGTATAAACAGTGACTCTATATTCATCCCTGTGATCACTCAGATATACTAAAGGAAAAAGAGAAGAGAAATAGGTCTGTGTCATCCAGGGTGATCTTGACAGGTCAACGCACCAACTACATGTTCAGAAAAGGGTGGAAAAGTGTGAAGAGCTAATCTTGACTCAGTATTCTCAGTGTTCACAGAATGCAGGAACACACACACACACTGGCCACTTACTGTAGCCATTTCTATGTGCTACACAACAATTCTATGAAGTCATTGCTATTATTCTCATCACCCCTGTCTTACAGATGAAGAAACGGATACAGTAGCAGATTGAGTTGTATGATCCAAGCTCACACTGCTAATAAATTATACAAGTGAAATACAAACTGAGACCCTTTATTGATATGGCATAAAAATTCCCTAAAACCCAGTAATTCTACCCAATATTCAGTAATGTGCTGAAATGTGACTCATAAAATTAATAGCTCTCAGAGAACTAAAAAAAGACCAGGCAGAGACAGAAGCACCTGGGGAAGAGGGAGGTACTACTGTTTATGCCTCCAACCTGCCACCAATTTTATTGCTCTTAAAATATTTGAGGACCATACAATGGGATTCTTTTTTTTTTTTCTTGCCTCATCATATCTTGCAAAGTATGTAGGAAACAGAAAGTTCAATATGTGACAATTCATTGATTACACTTTTTAAAACCTACATTGGCTAGAAGCTTCCTTGCATGTCTCATCTGGGCAGTTGTGATGAGTGTCACCTTTGGTATCAGACACACCTGAGTTCAAATTCTGGAATTGCTACTTAATTTGTATGACCTTGACCTTTCCTACCAGGTTCTTACCATCATTAGAATGAGATAAGAATATTTTCTTGTGCAGTTGTCATGAGGGTTGTATAAAATAGTGTGCCAAGTGTCTACAAACACACAAATGCCAGCTGGGTTTATAATGATCAGCTGTTACCCAGTTTCTAAACAGAATTTTGCTTTCACTTCAAACACAACCTTTGAGGTATGATCTTTAAAACGTCACTATTCCCCCATTTTAGAGACCATCCTGGTCAACATGGTGAAACCCCGTCTCTACTAAAAATACAAAAATTAGCTGGGCATGGTGGCGCATGCCTGTAATTCTCCTACTCAGGTGGCTGAGGCAGGAGAATTGCCTGAACCCAGGAGGCGGAGGTTGCGGTGAGCTGTGTGAGATCGCGCCATTGCACTCCAGCCTGGGTAACAAGAGCGAAACTCCGTCTCAAAAAAAAAAAAAAAAAAGAACAATGGGCTGGCCATGGTGACTTACGTCTATAATCCCAGCACTTTGAGATGCTGAGGTGGGAGGACTGCTTGAGGCAAGCAGTTCAAGACTGCAGTGAGCTATGATCACATCGCTGCATTCGGGCTGGGAAACAAAGCATGACCTTGTCTCCAAAAATAATAAAGAAGGAAAAGGAATGACAGTATATTAGTCAAAGTAAGTGTATTAGTCCATTTTCACGCTGCTGATAAACACAGACCTGAGACTGGGCAATTTACAAAAGAAAGAGGTTTACTGGACTTACAGTCCCGCATTGCTTGGGAGGCCTCACAATCATGGTGGAAGTCCAGGAGGAGCAAGACACATGTTACCTGCATAGCAGCCCGCAAAGAGAGAGTGTGTGCGGTGAAATTCCCATTTTTAAAACCACTAGATCTCAGGAGACCCATTCACTATTGTGAGAACTGCAGGGGAACAACACTGCCCCCATACATAAATCATCCCCCACTGGGTCCCTCCCACAACATATGGGAATTATGGGAGCAACAAGATGGGATTTGGGTGGTGACACAGCCAAACCTTATCAGTAAGTAAACATTAACTACTTTAATAACCTCCCTTACTCCAAATCTCAGGGCTTAATGCAACATTTAAAAAAAATTCTAGGCTGGACACAGCAGCTTAATCCTAGCAATTTGGGAGGCTGAGGCAGGTGGATCACCTGAGGTCAGGAGTTCGAGACCAGCCTGGCCAACATGGTGAAGCCCCCAGCTCTACTAAAAATACAAAAATTTAGCTGGGTGTGCTGGCGCATGCCTGTAATTCCAGCTACTTGGGAAGCTGAGGCCGGAGAATCGCTAGAACCTGGAAGGCAGAGTCTCCAGTGAGCCAAGATCATGCCACTGCACTCCAGCCTGGGCTACAGAGGGAGACGCCATCTAAAAAAAAAAAAAATTCTGTATATCAGAAACGGGTAGGAGGCCTTTCTGAGCAGCTCTCTGCCCAATAGTCTCATATATATATATATATATATATATATATATATATACACACACACACACACACACACACACACACACGAGTTTATTATTAACTCCCACAATCACAAGGTACCATAGTAGGCCATCCGCAGGCCAGGGAGTGAGGAAAGCCAGTCTGAGTTCCAAAACTGAAGAACTTGGAGTGCGATGTTTGAGAGCAGGAACATTCAGCACAGGAGAAAGATGCAGACTAGGAGGCTAGGCCAGTCTCTCCTTGCACGTTTTCCTGCCTGCTTATATTCTGGCCACGCTGGCAGCTGTTTAGATGTGCCCACCCAGATGGAGGGTGGGTCTGCCTTTCCCAGACCACTGACTCAGACACATCCAGGATCAATACTTCCTATCTTTCAATCCAATCAAGTTGATGCTTAATATTAACCATTGCACCTAGAAACCAAATAAAAATGGCATTGTCCCTAGCATCCTATACCGGGTGCCAGCTGGATGGGTAGAAGTGATGAAAAGTACAAAGGAATATTACCTTAATACTTAGACTATGCAGACAGCCACATTTAGCATTTCTTTTTTCCATTCTTAGTATATGGTCTTATGACTATCATTTTAAATAGTCTAGGCTGTGTTATGATTTTCTTAATCATGCCCCTCTCACTGCACAAATATTTAGGATTATTCTAATCCTCTTCCCTAGTATGTTACGACTTCATAAGACAAACCCTGATTATGTTAAAGTGCTTACCTTCAACTTAGGTCCGTTGCCAGGAAGTCACGAAATGAATGCCAAAATCGGCCAATGTAACTCTCATGCTTCCTGAAGCAAAGGAATATTCACAGTCCCAGAGACCAGCCTGACAGCTCTTACCCTAGGTTCATTGCCTCTAAATTAGAAGGAGAGAGTTAGATATGTGCCCGAGTCAAATTAGACTTGACTTGGATTATATTTTCTCCCATGGAAGCAAACCATCTATATTATAATGTTCAGTGGCCAGCATCAGAAAGAACAGCCACAGTTTCAAATGACTGCATGGCTAAAAATCAAAGTATGATGATGCTTCCCAGCAAAACTCACCCTTTTTGGCGGTGTTGCTGTGCACAGAACGTAACTGCAGTCTGGATGGCATGGAATTGCAGAGAGAGTGCAAATAAAATGCAGATTTGTTTCCATTTCATTCCATCCCAACAGCAGTTATTCGTAACAGCTTAATGTGCAGCCACTGCATTTCCCACATGCAATGTGCTGAGGGTTTTGTGCAGTTAAAATTGGTTTTATAGGCAAGGGAAATGCCACCAGCACTGCAAAATTGTTTCTATACTTTTGCTCTCATGGATTTAGCCCTCTAGAATGAGTATTCAGATGCTAGAATGGTGGTTGCCCCCATAATGCAAAATCCAAACTACCACAGTCAGGATTATGCTGGAAGACACACACACACACACACACACACACACACACACACACACACACCCCAGCAGCAGCAGCAGCTTATATAATACTATAAATTAAATATGAAGCCTCTTTGTGCTTTCAAAAAAATCAGAGAGAATCAAAGGCTTGTACAAATTCCTTCTTACTCTGCTTGGAGACATCATTGCCCTTATATGCTTCTGTACCCGGAATCCTGATGCAATTCACATTCTCTTACATTCTTTACCATTTTCCACATGCAAATAGTTAATTGCAGTTTACCCAGATGACTTTCAGCTGTGATGTATGGCACTTTAAGACAGACCTGTCCACCAAAATCTAAACATTGTGGCTAGTTATTCACCAGGAAAAGAAGGAGTGGGAGGGAGGCAAGACCACATTTTTAAATTTTTAACTTGGTGTGGCTTTTCAAAAGCAGTTCATGTTTGTAACTGCTGCAACTTATAGTGTTGGAAAAATGGGAGGATAGACAGGGAGACAAGTGGAGTCATTGCCAAGCAGCATTGAAGACTCACTAGCATGCAACGAAGAAGAAGATGATGATGATGATGAAGAAGAAGACGGAGAAGTAGGAGAAGAGGAGGAGGAAGGAGGAATAGGAGAAGAAGAAGGAGGAGGAGAAATACACACACACACACATACATACACACACACATACATACACACATACATACACACACTTACATACATACACACATACATACACACACTTACATACATACATACACACATACATACACACACACATACATACATACACTGTTCTTCATGTATAAAGATTGCGTTCTGATCCACAGAGCTTGGCATTGGTTTTCTAGGATTGTGACCAGATTTGATCTGATACATCCTTGCTAATCTGTATTCCCTTCATATCAGTGGCCCATGTTTGCCTTTAGTTTGTTTTGTAGTTTAACGTTCAGGGTGTAGGGCACGGCTGTATTTCACTGACATAGCCTCTGTCACACAGAAAGCACTTCAGAATTCAACACTAAAGTTTCCCAGTAAAAGCTCCACCCTATGATGGGTTAATAGGTGCAGCCAACCACCATGGCACACGTGTACCTATGTAACAAATCTGCACAGCCTGCACATGTACTCCAGAACTTAAAAAGGAAAAAAGCTCCAGCCTAAATTAATTGATGGACAGAGGGCCTCTCCCAAACAGTGCTCAGTGCACCCCAACACAGCAGTACCACGTGGACTCAGGAGACTAGGAAGGAGATGGCCGAGACCCGCCATCACCACAGTTTCACCAAGTCATTCCTGCTCAAAGCAGCTCCATCCCCAGGGGCAGCTTCTCTGCAGTTCCCTGAGCAGGACATTAAAGAGAGACGTGCACAATCAAGTAATTTCGATTCATTTTTTGGGGAAGTGATGGCATTTAGTGAAATACAGTAAATTGTCCCTTTCAACAGTAATAACATGTTCTGAGCTTTCCCCAACAGACGTCGTGTAATGGCAATATAATAGGATTGCTATGGCAATTAAGTGATTGCATATTTTCGGGCAACGGAGGGCATCCACCAGGGCGCAAACCATTAGTAAAGTGGAAACGTTGTTGCAGGATTGGTTAGGAACTGGATCGGGAGTTGAGGACACATGCCACCATCTATTTTATTTTATTTTATTCTTATTTATTTATTTATTTATTTTTTGAGACGGAGTTTTGCTCTTGTTACCCAGGCTGGAGTGCAATGGCGCAATCTCGGCTCACTGCAACCTCCGCCTCCTGGGTTCAGGCAATTCTCCTGCCTCAGCCTCCCAAGTAGCTGGGATTACAGGCCCGCACCACCACGCCCAGCTAATTTTTTGTATTTTTAGTAGAGACGGGTTTCACCATGTTGACCAGGATGGTCTCGATCTCTTGACCTCGTGATCCACCTGCCTCGGCCTCCCAAAGTGCTGGGATTACAGGCTTGAGCCACCGCGCCCGGCCCTATTTTATTTTTTTCAGGAAATCGGGGAGTGGGATTATAATATCACTGGGCTCTACTACACACACTGGGATTGTACTGGGAAGAGTCCAACAGGTCTCTACATAGCAAATGATCATCTCTTTCAAAGCATTTAACAAATACTAATCAGCACAGTGGTGCTAGACAAAACGGATTATGAAATTTGCTTTCTGATGGCAGAAGGGCTGCGTAGAGGAGGTTATTCAGTACCCTGCAGACATCAGTGACCCTTTCTCATTGCCGTGTTAATGGTTTCCATGCAGAAAAGTGACTTGGCATCTCATTGCATCCCACCTGTCTCACACACATCAACTTCTTATGTGAGATTTATAAGGAAGAGAAAATGTTATTCCATTTTCATAGCTGAGGATACTGACTTCTGATGACCAGTTACAGTTCAGTTTAGGTCTATGGAACTTTGCAGGACTTGGAGAGGTGGCATTTTGAGTTCAAAAATCTGGACAATCAGGTCTTCTCCCCCAACCCCTGGCCTCCTGGAATCGGTGAATGTCTGTTCTTTCAGTGCTTTTGTTTTTGTGGTTCTTTTGGGGTTTTGTTGATGTTGTTGTTGTTGTGGTTTGAGATGGTGTCTCTCTCTGTCGCCCAGGCTGGAGTGCAGTGGTGTGATCTTGGCTCACTGCAACCTCCACCTCCGAGGTTAGTGATTTTCCTGCCTCAGTCTCCCAAGTAGCTGGGATTACAGGCACTCATCACCACACCCTACTAAATTTTTTATTTTTAGTAGAGACGGGGTTTCACCATGTTGGCCAGGCTGGTCTCAAACTCCCGACCAAATGTTCCTCCCACCTTGGCTTCCCAAAGTGCTGGGATTACAGGCGTGAGCCCCCATGCCCCACCTGTTCTTCCTGTTTCATTTATAAACTGGATTTACAAGCATTGATTAAAGCTGGATATAAGTACATGGGTCATTGCTATACATTGTTCTGTATTCTTTGCTATGTTTGAAATATTTCATGACCAATAACCAAATATATATATATATAATTGTTGGACTGAAGTGCAGGATAGTAACCTCAGTATCTTCTGGGGGTATTAACTTGAGAAGATAAATAGTATTATAAAAGTAAGAGTTCATTTCTGTGTCTCCACTTTTGTTATTATTGCTCATATTATAATTATCGGAGAAATGTTAGTAAGGGCAGTGGATATGGGATCTCTGCACTTGACTTGTTCCACTAAGGTGTAGTGCTTGCTATCAGGATCATTAGAACCTCATAGGGAGGATTAAAGAAGGGCACTTGCAATTGTAGTGCAAGGTAGGGCAGGGAAGAGGTCTACACAGAACCCTCCTTCTCCATCCTCAGCCACCTCCCCGAGTATCAGTGCTTTTTCTCCAAAACAGTTCAGCAAGTTCTCAACTACCTAGTAGTGACTCAAGCATTGCTACTCAACGGTTATACCATGTTCCAGACTAAGTTGGGTCCTCTTTTATGTTCGTAATGTATCTTATACTTTTCTATGTTGTTGTGATAAAGCATCCACCATGCATAATGTACCATTTTAACCATTTTAAAGTGAACAAATCCAGTGGCATTTAGTGCAACCATCACCACTACCTAGTGCTAGGAATTATCTGCCTCAAAAGGAAACCACATGTCCATTCAGCATTCACTCCAGTCCCTGGAACCAGTAATCTGCTCTCTCTTTCTCTACGCATATGCCTATGCTAGATATTTCCATTTCAGTCAACTCATATAATATGCAGCCTTTTATGTCTTGCTTCTTTCGCTTAGCACACTGTTTTCAAGGGTTATCTCTGCTGTAGCATGTTAGTACATCATTCCTTCCAAAGGACACTAAAGAAAGGATGAAGATAGGGCCAGGCATGGTGGCTCATGCCTGTAATTCCTGAAGCAGGAAGATCACTCGAGGTCAGGAATTCAAGGCCAGCCTGGCCAACATGGAGAAACCCCGTCTCTACTAAAAATAAAAAAAAATAGCTGGGTGTGATGGTGTATCCCATCTACGCAGGAGGCTGAGGCAGGGGAATTCCTTGAACCCAGGAAGTGGAGGTTGCAGTGAGCCGAGATGGTACTACTGCATTCCAGCCTGGTTGACAGAGCAAGACTCCATCTTGAATAAAGATAAAAATAAATTAAAAAAAGAAAGGGAGAAGATAATTTGCAGAATTAGAGAAACATTTGCAATGATATAACCAATAAGGAATTAGCATCCACAATAGATAAAAAAAAAACTTTAACAACTCAACAACAAAAAAGAAAAACAACCCAATTAAAAAATGTGCAAAGGATTTGGATAGAGAGTTCCCGAAAGAGACATACAAATGGCCAAGGAACACATGAAAAGATGCTAACATCATTGGTCACTGAGGAAATGCAGACCACCTTGCTTTTTAGACGGCTCATCACATCCATTACTGATAGATTAATGTATTATTATTCTTTGATTGACATCTGTACTGTCCACTGGGCTGAAATTTACAAGAGACCAGGATTGTGCCTTTTTTCATTTACAATGATCATCTCAGTACCTGGCACAGCATTTGACACATGATAAGTCTTCAATAAATATTTGTTGAATAAACAAAGAATGGTCAAGGAGAAAGAAAATGCTTTCAAGAGTCAGAAAAGGGAAGAATGGACACAGAGAGGGGAGTACTAAACACTGGGGTCTATTGGGGGGAAAAGGGGAGGGCCAGTGGGAGGGGGAGGTGGGGAGGGATAGCCTGGGGAGAAATGCCAAATGTGGGTGAAGGGGAGAAGGAAAGAAAAGCACACTGCCATGTGTGTTCCTATGCAACTGTCTTGCATGCTCTGCTCATGTACCCCAAAACCTAAAATCCAATAAAAAATTTAAAA